AAGGATTCTAACACTGCAGACCATGATAAAGAGTGAGGCATCCATTTCCTCAGGAATTAACATATGCCAGACTGAGGGTATTTTTAAAAGACTTTGAACTGATTATTTATATTTTCTAATGTACAAAAATTATGTTGGAAGCCATGTGTGGTGGCACACACCTTTAATCCCAGCACTCTTGAGACAGGCATACCTCTATGGGTTTAAGGCCAGCTTGTTTCATATAGTGAGTTCCATGACAGCCAGGCTTACATAGAGACCCTGCCTCAAAATGTGTGTGTGTGTGTGTGTGTGTGTGTGTGTGTGTGTGTGTGTGTGTGTCTTGAAGCTGGAGAGATCGCTGAGTAGTTAGGAGCACATACTACTCTTGCAGATGACCCAGGTTCAGATCCCAAGCACCTACATGGTGGCTCAAAACCATCTTTTACTCCAGTTCCAGTGGATCCAATACCTTCTTCTAACCTCCACAGACATACATGTGATGTGTGGTGGTTTGGATAAGAATGTCCCCCATTAGCTCATATATTTGAGTACTTGCTCCACAGTTGGTGGAATTGTTTATAAAGGATTAGGGGGTGTGGCTTTTTTGAAGTGTGTCACTGAGGAAGGGCTTTAGGGTTTCAAAAGCCCATGCTATTCACAGTTGGCTCTTTTTTCTCTATCTCTCTTGCTCACTTGCTTTCTTATTCTCTCACTATCTCCAATCCTTGTGATTGTTTTCTCAATGTGTAAGTTCTTAACTACTTTATCAATGCCATGCCTGACTGCCTGCCTGCTGCCATGCTACCCACTATATGGTACTAGACTCACCCTCTGAAACTGTAAGCACACTCAGAATAAAACTTTTCATAAATTGCCTTGCAGTTTATGCAGGCAAAACAATCATAAAAATAAAATAAATCTTTAAAATTATGTTAATAATATTTCATTCTCTGCTACTATCACAAAATATTAGAAGCATATAGCTCACAAAGAATGTGGGGCTGGCCAGTGCCCTTGCTCGGAGCCTCCTGAGGACTGCAGATTGTGCAAAGGAGCCTGTCCTCACTGACTGGCCTAACCAGAGTCTGCCAGTGTCCTGGTTTCACCTCCAACCATGGTAGGAGATAAGCTTGGGCCTGTTTCCAGCCTGCCATCTGGTGCCCTGCTCAGAGCCTCCTGAGGACTGGAGGCAGCATGGGATAACCCATCCCAGCTGACCAGCCCAACCAAAGTCAGCCAGCACCCTAGTCCCACCTTCATCCACAGGAAGAGGAGAGCCATCAGAATATTGGACCTGCTTGCACCCACCAGAAGGGAACCTTGGGAGAGATCCAGTCAGTACACACTGGAAGAAGGGATAAGAAGATGACAGTATAAGAGCAAAGTCAACAACAGAAAGATCAATATGACACCCTCAGTCTATGGACTCTACACCACCAAGACCTCAACATCCCAACACAGATGAAACAGAAGAGAATGACCCTAAAAACAACTTCATTAAGATGATAGAGAAATGGAAGAAAAGACAAACCAAAAAATTGCAAGAAACAATTCAAACAGTGCAAGGTTTGAAAGCTGAAATAGAGTCGGAAAAAAAAAAACAAAAAAACAAAAAACCACAATCTGATGGAATGCTGGAAAAGCTGGGTAAATGATCAGGAACTACAGATCTAAGCATAACCAACAGAATACAAGAAATGGAAGAGAGAATCTCAGGTATAGAAGATATACTAGGAGAAATAGATTCATCAACCAAAGAAAATCTTAAGTGCAACAATTCCCTAACACAAAATATCCAGGAAATATGGTACATGTGGAAAGGCCAAACCTAAGAATAATAGGTATAGAAGAAGGTGAAGAAAGGTACAGAAATATATTTAACAAAATCATAGAAGAAAACTTTCCCAACCTAAAGAAAGACATGGCAGTGAAAGTACAAGAAGCTTATAGAACACCAAATAGACTGGACCAAAAAAAGAAAAAACATAATAATCAAAACACCAAACATACAGAATAATGAAAGAATATTAAGAGCAGCAAAGGAAAAAGACCAAGTAACATATAAAGGCAAACCTATAAGAATTACACCAAACTTCTCTATGGAAACTCTGAAGGACAGAAGGTCCTGGATAGATACCCTACCAACATGAACAGACCACCGATGCAGCCCAGACTACTATACCCAGCAAAGCATTCAATCACTATAGATGGAGAAACCAAGATATTACATGACAAAACCAGATTTAAACAATACTTATCAACTCATCCAGCACTACAGAAAGTTCTGGAAGGAAACTTCAACCCAGGAAGTCAACTGTATACTCACAAAAATATAGGCAATAGATAATTCCACTTTACCAACAGCCAAAAGAAAAATAGGGGCTGGGGGTGGGGGGAATCCACACATAATACCACCACTGTAAGGAGTAAGGTTTTTTTCTCCCACCGCCTAGTCTGGTCCCGCCACCACGCCAGCCCCAAATAATACACAGAGACTCTATTTGATATTATGCTGTTGGCCAGTTACTTGTTTCTTATAGGCTAGCTCTGTCTTAAGTATTAACCCATTTCTATGTATTTCCACGTGGTCTTACCAGCGAGAGGCGACTGGCGGTTCTATTCTCTCCAGACTCTCAATCTTGACTCCTCCTTACTAATTCCTCTTTCCTCCTTGTCTCCTAGTCCCTCCTATCTTCCTTTCCTATTGGCCAACAGTGCTTTATTCATTAACCAGTATGAGAAACATATATACATAATCGCATCTCCCATCACACCACCACCAACAAATCCAAAACAAATAAGAGTTAACAATCAATGATCATTAATATCAATTAATATTAGTGGTCTTAACTCGTCTCTAAGAAGATGCAGGCTAACAAAATGGATACAAAGACAGAATCCATTCTTCTGCTGCATAAAGAAACATAACTCTATTGCAGTTAAATAAGGATCAGGATAAACAAATAGGCCGAATAGATGTTTATTCAGGGAGAAATAACTTACAACCTAGACAGATTAACACCAGCAGGATCCACTGGATGCTCTCCTCTCCGCAACCGGCAAGAGAGCTTTCCCCGACTCCTCCTCAGACCTCCTTCCACAGGTTGCTTCCGCCCATAGCTCCACCCCAATGGGCGTGGTCAGTGCCACAGAAGGAGACAAAGTGACTACCCCTCTACATAACTCATCTTCAAAGACAGAGATTACCTCAGAGTTAAGGGTTGGGAAAAGATTTTCCAATCAATTGAACCGAAGATACAAGCAGATATAGCAATCCTAATATCTAACAATTAGACTGTAAATTAAAATCAATCAAAGGAGATGAAGAAGGCCATTTCTTATTTGTCACAGGAAAAATCAATCAAGAGGAAGTCTCAGTTCTGACCATCTATGTCCTAAATACAAAGGCACCCATATTTGTAAAAGAAACATTACTAAAACTCAAGTCTCACATAAAACCTCACACTCTTATAGTGGGAGATTTCAACACCCCACTCTCAACACTAGACAGGCCCACCAGAGTGAAACTTAACAAAGAAACAAAAGAACCTAACACAAAAGAATATACCTTCTTCTCAGTGCCACATGGAACCTACTCTAAAATCAACCACATACTTGGCAATACAGCAAACCTCAATAAGTTAAAAAAAAAATTGGAAAAAGCCCCTGTATCTTATCGGACCACTATGCTTTAAAGTTAGAATTCAACAACAACACAAATGGCAGGAACCCTACAAACTCATGGAAATTGAACAATCCACAATTGCACTATTCCTGGATCAAGGAAGAAATAAATTAAAAGACTTCCTAGAATTTAATGAGAATGAAGACACAACATGCCCAAACTTATGGGACACTTTGAAAGCAGTACTAAGAGAGAAGTTCATAGCTCTAAGTGCCCACATGAAGAAACTGGAGAATAGTCACATTAGAGAATTAACAACACAACTGAAAGCTCTAGAACAAAATGAAGCAAACTCACCCTAGAGGAGTAGACTCCTGGAAATAATCAAATTGAGGGCTGAAATCAATAAACTAGAAACTAGGAAAACAATACAAAGAATCAATGTAAACGAAGAGTTGGTTCTTTGAAAAAAAATCAACAAGATAGATAAACCTTTATCCAAACTAAACAAAAGGCAGAGAGAGAACATGCAAATTAACAACATCAGAAATGAAAAGGGGGACCCTGAGGAAATCCAGAGAATCTTCAGGTCACACTTTGAAAACCTGTACTTCACAAAATTCGAAAATTTAAAGGAAATGGACAATTTTCTGGATAGCTACCACTTACCAAAATTAAATCAAGAACATATAAGCAATTTAAATAGACCTATAATGCCTAATGGAATAGAAGCTGTCATCAAAAGGCTCCCAACCCAAAAAAAAAAAAAAAAAAAAAAAAAAAAAAAAAGCCTAGGGCTAGATAGCTTCACTGTTGAATTCTACCAGAAATTCAAAGAACAGCTAATACCAATAATCCTCAAGAAGTGTTCCACACAATAGAAGCAGAAGTTTCATTGCCAAACTCTTTTTATGAGGCTACAATTACCTTAGTACCCAAGCCACACAAAGATACAACTAAGAAAGAGAACTACAGATCAATATCTCTTGTGAACATCCCTGCAAAAATACTCAATAAAATATAGGCAAATCAAATCCAAGAACACATCAGAGAACTCATTCACCATGAGCAAGTAGGCTTCATCCCAGGGATGCAAGGATGGTTCAATGTATTTCACCATATAAACAAACTGAAAAAGAAAAACCACATGATCATTTCACTAGATTCTGAAAAAGCCTTTGACAAAAATCAAACAACCCTTCACGATTAAGTTCTTGAAGAGACCAGGGATAACAGGAACATACCTAAACATAATAAAAGCAATATATAGGTCGGCCTGAGGGGTACTCTTGGCCCGCAGCCTCCACCTGCGCAGCCCCAGCCCAGGCCCACAGGGGTGGGCGTAGCGGTCCTCAGAACATAGCTCGGTCTGTTCGTTGTTGGTGCGGTTGCTAGCCTTCACCAGCTGTCATGAGCGAGCGCCTCCACCCCAGGAAAAGGAGAAGAAATGATGATGATAACCACCTCCCGCCCCAGACCAAAATGAGCAGTAGGAACCCCATCTTCCAGGACTCCTGGGACACAGAGTCTTCGAGCACTGACAGTGGTGGCAGCAGCAGCAGCATCAACAACCCGGAAAGGGCCAGTGGACCAGAGAACAGCTTGAGCCAGATCATCCCCGGATCCTGCCCCAGTACCCCCCAGCCCGTGCCCGAGCAGTCTGCACTATGCCAAGGCCCTTACTTCCTTATCAATCAGACCCTGAAGGTGGCCCACTTTCACAGCCTACAGCACCTAGGCCAGCCTCTGACATGATGCTCTGGCCGTTTCTTGCCTTCTGTGAAGGGACAGCACTGTACAGATTGGATATTTCAACTTAATGATTTGTTTTTAAAAGTTGCACACAGAAAAAAAAAATGCCTGTTGGCTCTCAGTCTATATTTAAGTATTGGGTCAGCAGGCAGCTGTTTACCTGGGGTTTTGCTGCACTATTGCAATTTCAGAGGGGCAATTTTTATAGGATCTTTTGAGACAGGGCATCAAGTCTGTGTCATGGCAGTGTCTGAGGAAGTCTCCTTTGATTGATTTCCACATCTGTCAATAATTAGACTTGTACTGTAGAGCTTCTTAAAATGTCGGGTCTTCAATTTTTTAACTCAATAAACTAGTAAAGAATAAAAAAAAGCAATATACAGCAAAACAACAGCCAACATCAAACTAAATGGAGAGAAACTCAATGCAATTCCTCTAAAATCAGAAACAAGACAAGGCTATCCACTCTCTCCATTTCACTTCAATATTGTACTTGAAGTTCTAGCTAGAGCAATAAGAAAACAAAAGGAGATCAAGAAGATACCAATTGGAAAGGAAGCAGTCAAACTTCCACTATTTGCAGATGATATGATAGTTTACATAAGCAACCAAAAAAAAAAAAAAAAAAAAAAAAAAAAACTCTACCAGGGAACTCCTACAGCTAATAAACCCCTTCAGCAAATTGGCAGGATACAACTTAATTCAAAAAATCAGTAGCCTTACTATATACAGACGATAAAGGGGCTGAGAAACAAATCAGAGAAACATCTCCCTTTATAATAGCCACAAACAATATAAAATATCTTGGGGTAATGCTAACCAAACAAGTGAAAGACCTATATAATAAGAGCTTTGTGTCTTTACATAAAGAAATTAAAGAAGATATCAGAAAATGGAAATATCTACCATGCTCTTGGATAGGTAGGATCAAGAGTAAAAAGGGCAATCTTGCCAAAAACAATCTACAAATTCAATGCAATCCTTATCAAAATCCCAGCACAATTCTTTTCTAACCTTGAAAAACAATACTCAACTTTATGTGGAAAAACAAAAGACCCAGGATAGCCAAAACAGCCCTATACAACAAAGGAACTTCTGGAGGCATCACCATCCCTGACTTCAAGCTCTATTATAGAATTATAGTCGTGAAAACAGATTGGTGTTGGCACAAAAATAGACAGAAAGACCAATGGAATCGAATTGAAAACCTTGATATTAATCCACACACCTATGAATACCTGATTATTGACAAAATAGTTAAAATTATACAATGGAAAGAGGAAAGCATCTTCAACAAATGGTGCTGGCACAACTGGATGATGGTGTATAGAAGACTGCAGATAGACCCATGTCTATCGCCATGCACAAAACTCAAGTCCAAATGGATCAAAGACCTCAACATAAATCCAACCACACTGAACCTCTTAGAAGAGAAAGTAGGAGGTAACTTTGAATGAATTGGTACAGTAGACAGCTTCCTGAACATAACACCAGTAGCACAGACACTGAGATCCACAATTAATAAATGGGACCTCCTGAAGCTGAAAAGCTTCTGTAAGGAGAAGGACACAGTCAATAAGAAAAAATGATAGCCCACAGAATGGGAAAAGATCTTCACCAACCCCACATCTGACAGAGGACTGATTTTCAAAATATACAAGGAACTAGTTACCAAAACACCAAATAATACAATTAAAAAGTGGGGTACAGAACTAGAGAATTCTCAAAAAGGAACCTAAAATGGCTGAAAGACACTTAAGAATGTGCTCAACATCCTTAGCTATCAGGGAAATGCAAATCAAAACAACTCTGAGATACCTAAAATCAAAAACACTAATGACAGCTTATGCTGGAGAGGATGTGGAGAAAGGGTAATATTCCTACACTGCTGGTGGGAGTGCAAGCTTGTACAGCCACTTTGGAAATCAGTATGGTGGTTCCTCAGGAAAATGGAATCAGTGTATCTCAAGATCCAGTAATTCCACTCTTAGGCATATACCCAAAAGATGCACATTCATACAACAAGGACATCTTTTCAACTAAATCATAGCAGCATTATTTGTAATAGCAAGAACCTGGAAGCAACCTAGATGCCCTTCAACTGAAGAATGGATGGAGAAAATGTGGTACATTTACACAAATGGAGTACTACTCAGTGGAAAAACACAATGGAATCCTGAAATTCAGGGAAATGGATGGAACTAGATCCTGAGTGAGGTAACACAATCACAAAAAAACAAACATGGTATGTACTCATTTGGCCCAACCAGCAGGGCCTAGTTATTCGTGGGTCGAGGTGGGCTAGAACCTGAAAATAATGGGAGAGAAAGAAGGAACGAGACCAAACAATCTTTGTCAAGGTCTAACTTTACTAGGCACAAAGAGGGGTTTTTAAAGCAAAGCAGGGAGGAAATGGGGAGGGGTAGCTGTGCTGACTCTGGGGCTCTGGTATTTTCCCAGGCCAAAAATATCAGACTCTAGATGTCTGCCTATCTCAGTTCCTGGCGTCTTAGTTCATCTCAGTTCCTGGGTTGAATGGGACATAAATATCAGACCATAAGTGTCTGTTTATCTCAGTTCCTGGGTTGAATGAACAAACTGCTTTTTCAGCAGTTTTCTGTTTTACCAAGATAAGGCTCAATTAGAGTTTTAAGGTATAAGTTATTTTGTAAGAGGATGTGACTCAAGGCCTGCTCCCAACACTCATTCATATATGATTTTTAGACTTAGAGCAAGGAATACCAGCCTACAATCCACATGGCCAGAAAAGCTAGGAAGAGAGACATACATGGTCCCCTGGAGAAGGGGAAAGGGACAAGATCTACCAAGGAAATTGAGAACATGGGGGAGGGCAGAGATAGGAGTAAGAGGAGGGGATAGGAGGGTATGAGGGAGCAGGAAGATTGAGTCAGGGTAAGAATAGAGGAGAGTAAGAAAAGAGATGCCATAATAGAGGGAGCCATGATAGGTTTTAAGAGAAATCTGGCTCTAGGGAAATGTCCAGATATCTACAAGGATGACCCCAACTAACAATCTAAGCAACAGTAGAGAGGCTACTTTAAATACCCTTCCCCAATAATTAGATTGATGACTAACTTATATGCCATTGTAGAGCCTTCATTTAGTAACTGATGGAGGTAGAAGCAGACAGCCACAGGTAAACACTGAGCTGAACTCCTGGAATCCAGTTGCAGACAGGGAGGAGTGATAAGCAAAGGGGTCAAGACCAGGTTGGAGAAACCCACAGAAACTGCTGACCTGAACAAGGGGGAGCTCATGGACTCCAATCTGACAGCTGGGAAATTAGCATAAGACTGACCCAGACTCCTGAATATGGGTGTTAGTTAGAAGGACTGGGCAGTCTATGGGGCATGTGGTAATGGATCAGTATTTATCTCTAGTATACAAATGGTCTTTGGGAGACTACTTCACATAGAGGGATACTCCCGCAGCCTAGACACATGGGGGAAGGTCTAGGCCCTGCTCCAAATGATTTAACAGACTTGAAGACTCCCCATGGAAGTCTTCTCTCTGGGGAGCAGAAAGGGGATGAGATGAGGGTTTGTGGGTAGAACAGGAGAGGATGGGAGGGTGAGGAATTGGGATTGAAATGTAAAACAATATTGTTTCAAATTTAAATAAAAAAATTATCAAACAAACAAACAAAAAAGAATATTGTGCTGAAGGGCCTGGAGTGATTGCTCAGCAGCTAAAGAGTACTTATTGTTCTTTACTGTTCTTTCAGAGGACCCAGTTCCAATTCCCAGCCCACACATGGCAGCTTAAAACCATCTATAACTCTAGTTCCAGGGAACTAGCACTTTTCCACTCTCTATAGGTACCACACATAAATGATGTACTTACTTAGGTGCAGTCAAAATACCCATGCACATACGATAAAAATAGATAAAAGTCTTCAAAACAAGTCAGAAGAACACATTCTAGACTAAGATACTGGGATAGCTAAAGTAATGGATTTCATAAAGACAATCCTATGCATATGGATCATTAACACATTGTTGTCACCTTTGATCATTCCTTTCCCTGGCTGATGGCCTTTCCCTTCCATGTCTCTACAAGAAATGTGCAAAGATACCTTGTTCTCAACATATTCAACTTAATTTCTTTTTTCTTTTCCTGATGATAACCACCCTAACTGCGATGAGATAGAATTTCAAGGCTATTTTTATTTGTGTTTCCCTTGTGGCTCATGTCCCAAATTGCTTTCTATTGTTGTGATAAACACCATGACCAAAAACATCTTGGTGAGGAAAAAGTTCATGCATTCAAATTACAGTCCATCACTGAGGGAAGTCAGGGCAAAATCTCAAGCAGGAGCAGAGGCAGAAACTGTGGCTTGCTCAGCTTACATTCTTATACAACCCAAGAACACAAGCACAAGGGTTTGGCCCTACCTTGGCTTTATTCATCAATTATTTATTAACAGAATACCCCATAGACATGCCCACAGGCCAATTTGATGGAGACAACTCTTCAGCTAAGAATCCACCTTCCCAAATGACTCTAATTGCAATCAAGTTTACAGAAACGAATCAACACAGCTAAGAATGTTGGACACTATTTCAAATACCTATTGACCATTTGTATATCTTGGTTTTTGTATTTGTTTTATTTTTGTGTATGTGTTTTGTCTGTCTGCATGTCTCTGTACCACATGTAAGCCTAGTGTCCACAGAGATGAAAAGAGGGCTTTGAGTCCCCTGGGACTGTGTAACAAAGAGTTATGAATGCATTGTAGGTGATGGGTGAACCCGGATGCTTTGGAAGAGCAACCAGTCCTCTTAACTGCTGAGCCAGCCCCTGCACTTCTTGTTTTGAGAACTATATAGTTATTCCATTTGCCCACTTTTTTTGGTTTATATTTTGTTTTTGAAACTGTGTAGGTTGTGTTTCACTATACTGACAGTTTTCTTTGTTGTACAGAAGTTGTCAACTTACTAGGGGATGCACCCTTGAAGAAAAAAACAGGTTTTACTTCTCATTAGTAATTATCAATTGCCAATAGATCTTTCACTAAAAGTGGGACTTTATATTTGTGTCCCTTCTCCACACTGGAATTTTGTCTGCCTTGAGCTTGCACAGGTCCTTGTGCATCCTAACTCAACTGCTGTGAATTCCAATGTGCAACTTCTGTGTCTAGAAGACACTTTTCTTATAATCATTCTCTGCCTCTGGCTCCCACAATCTTTCTACTTCCTTCCACAATGACCCCTGAGTGTTGGAGAATAGGGTGTGACATAAGAATTTCATTTAGAACTGAGAACTCCACAGTCTCTTATTCTCTGTACTTTGACCAGTGTGCATCTCTCTGTTAACCACCCTCTACTTCAAAGGGAAGCTTCTCTGATAAG